AATCCAGCCAAGCTCTTGGCGCTAAATATGGTAAATATGGTCATTAGTTTGGTCAGGCACGACTTAACGCTCTCAGTGGGATTTTAGCCAATTCGCCCGTTGGCCAATTTCGGCCCATTGAGCCTGTGTTTGCGCCTGATTATTAAGTATTATGCTTATGCCTTATGCTTATTATTGCAAAAAAAAAAAGCGATTTTGCAACACAGCTGCAGCTCATTTATTGTTGTTGTAGGTGTTCAATTAAATATGCAAACAGTTTCGCAAATGTGTCTCGACTTGACCGAGTTCAAAGTCAAATTGCCAGCGCATTTCCATTGCTGCCTCCGGTTTTTCAACCGTTTTTCACCCTCCGCCGTCTAGACTTTTGTCTCTCTTTGCCTGGCGAAAAGTTCATTGCCAAATGCAGCAGCAGCAGCCGCAGTTTTCAGTTTCAGTTTTAGTTTCTTTTTTTTTCTGTATTATTTTCTTGCCACGGATCGATCGGTCGATCAACTGCAGCTGCATTGAGTCACACGCCGGCAAAAAAAAAAAAAAAAAAAAGCCCAGAGACGGACAGCAGCTAACAACAACGGCGACCCCGTCGACGGTTCTGTATCTTTTTTTTTTTTTTCTTTTATTTTTTGTGGGCGGACACTGGCCAAATGGCTTGGAGTACCCTTTAACCAGGGTGCTCTGGAATGGTAATGAATTATCAGTTAGGGGTGGCTTTCAGCTAACAGAATATGATGAGACTCTAATTAATCATTTTACAGGACATCTTTGGGGGGGAAATTCTGGAAATACAATAGGTTTTAGTTAAGTTCCCTAAGACACTATAACTAAAAATATTTTTAATATATTTTATTATATTATTATTATATTTTAAAGAATATAACAATGAAATATTGTTACTAAATTTATTATTTATAATATATTTTAAATATTTTTGAATTTCCTTAATTATTTTTATAATTCCCTTACCTTAAAGAGCATTTCCTATTCGATCACTCCCCATTATTGTGTCGACCCCTTCTCCTGTGTTTTCGATTTCACTGTATTCTGGCCTTTATTTTTGTTATAAATTCTGGGCATAAGACCATATCGTTTTCATTTTGATTTTGATTTAATTTACGGTTCTCAAGCCACAGGCTCGCTTCGGACACTTTGAATAATGTTTGTCTATTTATAAATATGAATTATTTTCCAGCAGATTAGAGGGAAAGAGTGCTTGGGCTTTGTTGTAGTAGCAGCAGCAGCAGCATTTATCCACCGATCGCTGTGCACTGCATTTTTAATTGCTAATTAATTTCCTCGACACACGAGAAACAATAAGCCAAACCGAGTGAGTGAGTGAGTGCGATAAGTGCGATTTAAGTTTTCAATTACCTAGATCTGGAGCCCAAAAAAGACACCTGGTTAGGCTTATTTATCGCGTCTAGATTCGCATTATAAATTTAATTTAATTATAGGTGAAGCGGTGCAGTGCGTGGGCGTCTGTCTTCCAACAACAACGCTCCAAACAGTCGCTCTAAACAGCAATTAAGCTTAATTATAGTTGTCGCCGTTTTTAGCCAGCTTGTCTTGTGTGTTCGGCTGTCTTGTGCCTTGTCGCATATTGTTTTGTCGTATGCAAAGCAGGCGCACGTCTGGCCCAAAGCCTGATCCGGAGACCATGGACCTGGCCAACATCACATCTCCTCCTCAGACTAGTTAGCCGGGGTTCCTGTTTCGTCGCGGTTTCTTGCTTTTCCGTTTTATTTGGTTTTAGGTTTTCGATTTCGATGGTTTTTGGAAGTGCACAGAGGGAAATTAGGGATTACTTGTGGGGTTTTGCGGAGGTCCTTGTGGATTTTAATATTTTTCATCTATTTCATTAGTTTGTTAAGTACAATTTAGAACAAATATCGAATAAACATTATCTTAAATATTATTTGGAATATTTTTACTCCAATTCTCATTTTTTTATAAAAACCCTTAGAGTTTATTCTCTGTGTATCTTGGTGGTTGGTGGTTGGCCATCCCCTGTCCCGCCTTGTGGCCAAATGTCTGTCACGATTGCCAGACGGGCACGAGTGATGGCGGTGCTCCCCGGAGCGGGGTCCCTCCCCCCATTTGGCTAATGGGCGCTTTTATGTTATGGCCTGGCTTAAAATGGATGAGCCTGCGCTCAGGAGTCGTAGTTTACATATATCTGAATGTGGGTTTTGAGTCACTGCCGTGGGTGTTGCAGCAGCAGCAGCAGCAGCCGCAGCAGCTGGACATGGGGCCAAACGAAAGTAAAAGGTGTTGCCTCGGTGCTCAGCCAAATTGATGTTACTGCAGTTGGAGGAAGTAGGAAATGTTGACAGCCATAAAAACGGGGACATCTTGTAGATGTTTTAAATGGATTTTGTGTGGAAAGCCTTACTATTTCGGGAGCTACCCTAATTGGTGGCTAAGCTTGAATCCAAACACTGGCAACGCTGTTTGCAAGTGTCAAAAGTCATTTCGTCGTTTTGGTTGAAAAAAAAAACATATTGATTCTACAAAATTTTTTTGGCATTTCTTTTTACAAGAACTTAAAGTAAGACTTTTTGGAATTTGATATTTTCATTGTTTAAAGTGAGAGTTTGTATAGAAAAACAATGCCGCCAAGAAAGAGCCAGCGTTTAGCTGAAAAAGCAAAGAAAAGAGAAGCTGCCTCTGAAAATCAAGTTCCAAGGGAATTTAAGGTAAAACTGCTTGAAATTGTCTACTTTGGGATATTTGTTTTTATAATAATACTGTGGAATATATAAGGAAATGTCACCCAATGATAGGATGTTCCTTGAAAGGCTCCCTAGAGAAGCTCCTAGACTCCGCTTGAGGGAGACCCCAGGGAGAAGCCTTACTTCTATGGCAGGGGTAAGAAAAACATAAGGTTATGAGGTGTAAAATATATAAATAATAATAGTTAATTTAGGATGTCCTTCAACTAAGTCACTTGGAGTTATGGACCTATTCAGGTCTATCTATCTATTTCTTATAAATAGTTATACCTTTGTCTATAATTTAAGCTCATAGAAATCCACCCACTAGGAAGTGAAGTTCTTAATTATCGAATCGCCTTTCGAATATCGCTTTTAAAAAAAACATCTCATTCATTTCCATTCATTTGTTATTCGCAATTCACAATTCCCTGTCGATTCGACTGGGAATCAATCACAGTGTTCAGTTCGATAGCTTCGTCTCAGCTTAATTAGCTGCAAATTAAAACATATTCTCTGTGTATATCATTATAAACTCCACGCTGACACATTAACCAAGTCGGCATAATGATAATGAGTGCACACACACTCCCCGTCTCAGAGCACAAATTAATTGAAATCATAAGATTTATATCGCATCTGCGATCTGACTCTGAAATCGAATCAATTTTATGAAGCGATTGAACAATGTATGTATATACACATCTGTGGGTGCCGTAGACAAAAGCCCTTGTGCGAGGCGACGTATGCATAATACTCGTACAATAATAATAATAATAATAATAACCATTTGTGGGGTCCCATTCCTACACGTACTGGTTTGCATTAAGTTTATCCGGCGATCTTAAGCCAATTTAATAAGCGGGTTGCCCCGTTGTGGCCGCAAAGTTGAGCTGTCAGTCGCCAAATGATTAATCAGTGCGCCCCTCTCCAACAATCGGAGTTTGGAGTGGCAATGGATCCACTGGATCTGGATGGATGGATTGCTGGTTGGATGTAGATGGATGTGGATGTGGTTGGGGATGTGCCAGTGGATGCTGGGATGAATGAATGGGGGCATGCCAATGTCTCAACGCCCACGAGTGCGTACAGAGGGCATAATCGAGTGCTCGCAGACAGACTTGGAAGCATCTCCGGCATTACACCAAGGCAAACTATGTATGCTTTTTGAGTTTAATGATTCACCATTATCTTTTCTTAAATGATTTCAAATTGAGCTTGTTTTAATTCCATATTTATATCGATTTTAATCGATATTTTTTTGGTGAATTTTTCCTTTTAGCAAGTTTGGGTTATAAATAGAGTATTCCATCGCTTTCCTTGCTTCCTTCTTGTTTAAGAAAACCAAAAATACCACACATCATCTTTGCCAGAATATAATCCCCTAATTAATTGCTTTAAAAGTGGCATAAATTTATGATAAATCAAAACTGGTTTCCCCTTTCAAAAAAAATATGTAAAGCTTCTCTAAAATCTCTCCACAACTGATATGATATACTTTTTCCCCAAAAGCGAGCAGCAGGACGGGGCACAATTTTTATCGAGCTCCAATCAAAACAACATGACGCGCTCGATTCCGAAATGCAGGCAGACAATTGAAATTATTATTGTTATTTTTAACAATTTTTTTTTCTTTTCGGGTCGGTAAGGGGTAGGGGGCAAAAAAGACATTTGCTTGACATGTTTGTTTCGTGTACAAAATATTTTGATAATGATCTCGCGAGCTCCGTACAACAAAACCCAATTTTGTGCCTCCAAGACATGGAGACAGACACACTCACAATTCTCATCTAAATGAAATGATTGTCTGTAGGAAAACTTATGACTGGAAAACTGGCAAACGGGGAAACTTTCAATGATTTTTATATGTTTGCCTTTCGAGGCACGTATGGGGGAAATGTTAATAATTGTTTAAAGTCCAGGCAATCGCAATAAATAAGTGGCAAACACAAATCAAGCTGTGAATTGCTAATGGAATAGAATTTTTAAGCCAAGTACAGTCACGCTGACTTCAAGCATAAGTAGAAAAATGCCATAAAAGTAACTATAAAGGCCTTAACTTAATTGTTTCCGCAGACGCACTTAAAAAATTATTTAAAACTAAGTAAAACATTCTTTTTCTATTATAATTTATTTTAATTTCTCAAAAAATAAATGATTTTCAAGCCTTTTTAAAAGCTAATAGACTTTCATGTCAGCCCTGGAATCCAAAACGAGGGTCTCACTAAAACTTACCTGGTGGCAACGCTGTGCACAGCTAAAAAAAAACTTTATTCGTAGCACACGTGTCGGTGTTTTTGTCAAACTTATTTAGTGCTTTTTGCCCGATTTTCCATTGATATTCCAAAAATTAACACGCTCGCTCACAGTGATATTTGGGAATACAATAAAAAAAGTTTAAACCAAAAAAAAAGTACGTGTAAGACCGGTAAGAATTCTCCCAAAAGTCGAGACCAAGTTTTGTATAGTTTTCTTTACTTCCGAAGAACATCATGCCTGCACGCCAACCGCAGTCAGGAAACACTCTGCGCCGCAGCGCGCGGCTTGCCGGTAACCCTCTGCGCCGCAGCGAGCGGCTCCGGCTGCAACATGCTACTTCTACACCCATCCGTGCTCTAAATGCTGCCAACGAAAGGACACCGACCAACTCCTCGACCATTGCCACTCACTCGCGTTTCATCAATGCCCCGAGAAGGCGCTCACGAGGCTCTCGCCGCTGGTCCGGCGTGGAGGCGGCACGCATCCGGCAGGCAGCAGCCGAGGCACTAAGCGGTACACCTTCACCCAATAACATCATTGGAGACACCGGTACACCTCAACCAAGAGGTCCTGGACGTCCTAGACGTCATCCTACACCCTACCCTAGACGTACCGGCATCCGGCGGACAGCAGCCGCGGCACTTGGCGGCACACCTTCGCCCGTTGAGCCTGTTACCGTGAATCAGAATTCGTTCTTTGGCATGTTGGCTGGTGGTGGCTGGTCCTCGCTGGTCTCATTCAACCTCAATGCCAACCTGCCGTTATTGCGTCCCCTTCCAGCTCCACCGACAGATTCTGAGTGTCGTCTTGTCTTGGGCCGCCTCAGACGTGAGCTGCAGGACTTTTATCAGGAGCCGCCCGAAGGCTGCAGCATTGAGATTGTCAACGACAATATGTTCCACTGGCGGGCCAGTATTTCCGGTCCTCCGGAGACCCCATACGCGGGTGGACAATTTCATTTGGAACTGCATTTTGGCCAAAACTATCCCTTTGTAGCGCCAAGGGTTTACTTTCTCACAAAAATCTATCATTGCAATGTTGCAGCCAATGGACATATTTGCCTGGACATATTGAGCAGAGAGTGGTCTCCGGCCCTGACCACATCCAAGGTGCTCCTGTCGATTACATGCCTGATGGCAGATCCCAATCCCGATGATCCATTGGAGCCATCGATTGCCAGCTTGTACAAGCGCAATCGCAGTCAGCACGACCAAACGGCACGCTCCTGGACCTCGCTGTATGCCAAACCCGGACAGGATCCCCAAAGTCCCGCCTTTGACTAAGGCCGTGTGGTTTTGGTTTTTCACGAATGTTTTATTGTTTTTTGTGCCAGCACTTTTTGGTGGTTGAAAACAGTATACGACACTTACATATGTAATTGATATATAAATACAGAGTACACGAGGATACACACTAGCTTTCCAAATTCATATTTACCATCTACATAGATCTAGTCAATTATATGTGAAGTGATTCAATATATTTATACACGTGAGCTAAACCTATGCTAAGCCTAAACCTCTTTCGTCTGGATCTTCTGGTGCGGAACGAGCTAAGATTTATATAGGTTTATATATACTAGGTTAGGCGGTGTTAGTTGCTAGAGTAGGATGTCCGTCAAGCAGGTGGTAATTTCATTTACTTAGCCTACTTTTTGAGTTAATTGAGTTGCTGGATATATGTATATAGGGTATTATGGTGGCTATATCCTTACACTGGTTAGCTGCGTGTCTAGAAAGTAGTGGTTTTTGTGGGTGTACCATGTAGTAGTTAACCTTTTTTTAACTAAACGAATTCATTTTATCTATGCTAAAGTCCTTTGGATTGTGGTTGTAGTGGTTGCTGTTGATTTTGTAGCTGCTCCCTCCCCCTGGGGGGCCCGCCCTCATTTGTTGTTCTTCGGCAAATGCCGCTTCATATGAAGCGCCAGGTGATCGCTTCGCGCAAAGCTCCGCTCGCAGACGATGCACTTGAAGGGCTTGGCTCCGGTGTGCTTCCTGTAGTGACGCGTCAGTTCATCCGATCGGGCGAAGCGCCATTCGCACTCGGGCCACTGGCAGGTGTACGGTTTTTCACCTGAAATTGGGAATAAAATTGGATTTAAAATTAGAAATTATTTAAAAGAAAAGTGTGAATATTTATAAAATATTTATTATATATTTATTTTTCCTCTAAAAATCCCTTGTGAAATTTTTAAAAAATCGCAGCAAATTCAGATTTTTTTAACAAATAATTGAGAAATAATTGATACTTCATTGTTTTGTTGTCTTTAGCAAAATGACAACAGAACAGCAGCTGCATTTGCCACACAAGTTTACATGTTATGCATTTTGTACTTTGTGATTTCTATTGCCAATTGTTGTTACCAAGTCAAGGCATTTGGCCAAAACCAAAAGGCATTCGCCGCTGTATTCAAACCGAAAAAAAATTCCACCGGCCGGTGAGCAAAACTCTTTGTTATTTTCAACTATTTTTTATGACTAACCCCAGAGCCGTAAACCCCTTCCCCTTCGTTTATGCGACATAAACATAAACATTCGTGTTCAAATTTAAATTGAAATTGAATGAAATAATTATTGCGGTTGGAGATTTGTGACTGAACTTGACATTTTTGGTTGTTGGAGACAGCGGATTGTGGAGCGAATCGAATGGATTATCCGTGGACAAGCTGGAATTGGTTTTTGGTTTTGGAGAATTGAGAGTTTGGCGCTGAAAGACAGCGATTCGAATGGGTCAAGAAATTAAGGAAATCGAATTTTACAAATTTATAAATATTTTGCTTTGGTTTTTAAGAGATTTTTAAAGCTTTAACAGCTTAGACAACTGATTTATTCTTTAGCTTTTATGAATATTTATTTAAAATGATTTATTATATAAAAATAATAGCAAAGTAAATTGATTTATCTTTTTTTTTAAAGAATTTAAATAATTTTGAATTCAATTTTAGTTTATTTCCTTTTTAAATTGAATTTAAAGAATTTTTATTACATTTTAAATAATAAACTTTCCCTCCCATACATCCAGTTTTCATTGCTCTCACATACGAACATTTTTCGAACCCATCTCGATTTCGAGATCTCAGCCAACATCAAAGCAAGAGGCTGCTTTGGTTGTTTATTATTTTTTGTACATCGAACAAACGCACAAATTTTGTTTGGTTTGATCGGATATTTGGGATATTTTTCGGCGGCCCTCGAAGCCAAGAGATCTCGAGTGGCACTCAGCTGACACTTTGCCGGGGATTTTCGGATAGAAACCCAATGCCCCTCGACTCGTGGCGTGACTTATTGGTTTATTTAGATCTCTTTTAATGAACTTAAGTGCCTCGAGATGCCTTCGAGTTGCCGGCCTGAGCATAATCGCGGGCTTAGACGGCCACGTGGGGCATTTGCATGTGGAAATTGCCAAAGCGAGTGACTCATAAAGCAGATATGGCTAGGTTTTAAGCTGATATATTTTTTAATTTTGAGAAATTTTAGTGTAACTTACTTGTTTAAAATTATATAAAATAAAAATAACCATTTAAAAGACTTCAAATAATTTTAGATTTAAAAAGCTCATGAAAACTAACTCAGAAAAGCTGTTTGAGTTTATCAAATATTTTTTTGATTTATTTATGTTTTTATTTTTAACTTTAATTATTCAAATAAAGTATAAACCTATTATTTCTAGATGTAAAAAAATTTTTCTTTAAATATTCCAACATTTTAGAATTATTTTAGCCATTTTCAACAATTTTTAATATCTAAAAACTCTCGCCAACACTGTCCACACTGCCTAGAATCGGCCTAAATGGGCAATAAGACCTCCCCGGCCGTGGGAATTAAATTTGGCAATGATCACAAAGGCGGACTAACAACAAACAAAAACAAACCAACGGACAAAAGTTATGTAAATGTTGTTTTGTAATGTGCGATGAACGCAACGCGATAAGCCCGACGGAATTACTTCATAATTTTCCTTACGGCCGCGATAAGGCCACTCGGCGGCAATATAAATAAATTCAGGCTCCAATCGCGACTCTGGACGAGAGAGCCAGAGGCTAGACCAGACCCGAACCGACTAGGCCCAGCCAGACCTCCTCCAGTCGTCGCTGGGCATAAAATCAAACTAATTTATGGCAGCGCGAACATATTAGCAAACAAATCAGTACAAAATAAGCCAGTTCCGAGTCCTAGGGACAGGGTACCCGAGGCCTGGCACTGGCCTCCAGTCTCCCGAGATACGATACGGGAAATTTATGCGTTCGCCGGCTGCATAAAGATTAGTTACCAAGTGATTTTCTAATCGACGCAGCCAGATAAAAACAAAAAGCCCAAATAAAAATGACAAATTTACGAGCCAACGAGGGTTTCTATTTTTATGGGGAGAATAGAAGATGGGAAAATGGAAATTGAGGCTAAGGAAAGTGGGCGGAAGGCAGGAAAAGAGAGGAGTTTTTATAAAGAAAATATATATATTTCAGATCGAACTAAATATTTTGGTTTTTTTTGCTATTTATCTGAGCATCTCTGCTGTTAGTTTTCCCTGTGGCTAATGGACACCTTCTTCGGCAGCCAAGGCAAACGAAAGACTTGAGCAACGAACTTGACTTGACGACTTTGACAAATATTTGCTGTGGAAATCGGTCGGCGGTCTCCCCACCATTCCAATATCTTTTCACTGCAAATATCTCTACACTTCCCAGCCGGGCGTTGCTAATCAGCAGAGACAACAGTCTGGTGGCGCCTCAAAAATGGCATGAAAAATATATATGTGTGTGTGTGGCGCCACGGGGGGAGATTTGTGAGATCTAGGAATGAGCCCATGAATGGGCTGGGCCGCCACGGAACGCTGTTAACTAACTCGAAAGCCAAACAAACGGACAGCCATCAAACGGTAGCCCAGCTCTCGAGTCAAGGAATTGCGAAATGCAGAGAGAGAGAGCAAGATCGAAGTCCAGACTTCGTGCTGGCCGCCAGCCAAAAGCTCCAAATAACCTTAAAGAACCCAAGGGAATCGAAATTCGAACCCTGTGGGTTTTTTATATACTATATACGGCGACCTTTACCGCCTCGATGGGCGTTAACTTTATCAGTTAAGTGAAAATCAGCGAGCTGCGCACAAAAAAATCATAATAATAAAAATGTTTTTAAGGCAGCAGTTTTAAGTAGCGCATAAATCAGTTGGTCATGTGCGATTAATAAAACAGCGGCTGAGGAGAGATGGGATTCTTGCTTTTATGATTATTATTATTTTGTTTTCCTCTCTCTCTCGCATTAAACGTGCGGCCCATAAAACGAAGACAGGTGATCAGCCCAAACGGGCAACGGAACGTCAAGTGTAATCCGAGCAAGGAGGAAATGCAGGCCAAACGTGCGCCCAGCTGATGGCGTCGGCGATTGGCGATCGCTGATGTTGCAACTGGCAAACGGGCCAACTTGCAACTGACCACAAAATAAGGAAAAAAAACGAAGGAAAAACGGAGCCTCAGCCACAAAAACAAACCGTACAAATCACGATTTTCGCTGTGGTTTTGCCTCCGTGGTGCAGAAATTGAAAATCAACGAAAATCGGAACACAGAAAATAATTTTTGGGAACTATTTTCAAAATTAAAATAAAGGATTTTTTAAGGGAAACCTTTAAAATGTTAAATATATTTTTTATAATAATTAAAACTGCCAAGTATATTATTTTGGATTTATTTTTAAAACATCTCTTGCCTAAATTTCTCTCTAAAATATTTTCTTTTGCTCGAAAAATTTATTTACATTTTTTTTCGGGTTCTTAAATTTCTCTTAGTGCCAGACACTCGCAGAAAAAAAGGCGCTCGAAGCTCTCTGGGCCTTGGCAAATTATGTGCTGGCAACTACAAATATGAGCGCGCGAATTAATCAAAAGGCGACGGTTGCCCAACGTCCCAAAAAAAACCAGAGAGTGCAGCTGCTTGCCAGTGGCTCATCGGTGCTTCAGTACATATATATTTATATTTTTTAAGCTTTAGTTTTTCGCAGAAAAGCAGCCCACATGCGAGGACTGAGGGATTGCAGTGGTCCAGACTGTGACAGGGGGTCAGACCCGGGGTCATCGAGAGTGGGCGGTTTTAGTGGGCAGCTGTTTTTGGTTTTTTTTTTTTAATGGAAAACTCACCCGTGTGGATCCTTTGATGGGCCTTTAGATGGGAGCTCTTTGTGTACACCTTGGAGCAGCCTGAAAGAAAGTAGAGAATACATAAAGGTTGGGATAACTATAAAAAATATATTTAGATATTATAGAAAAAGAAATAAGACCTCTAAAAAATAATGGTCTAAGCTTATGGCTTTCTAAAGTGCTTGGACAGTGGTTCCCAAAAATCTTATCGGATGCTGTTAAGGCCACATTAGAGAAGCATCTCTCGATGGCAAAAGCCAGAAAGTGGGTCAGGCGGGCGTGGTCCTTTTAATTAGCAGGTGAAAGTTGCACGAGATTCACTTGCAACAGACAACCTGCTGTTTGCAACACCGCCACCGCAGAGCTGGTGACATTTATGAGGCACTTAAAAGGATGCCACGAGGATTGGGTCTGCTGATCTACCGATCCCCGCACGTACTCCAAGCAACGTGCTGCGAAACACAATGCCCCAATGCCAGTGAAGAATGTTGCTGACAAGCAACTATCAAAGCAAGCAACTTGCAACTAGCAACTTGCAACTAGAAGATAGTTCTGGCAACTCCAGCAGGGAAAAAGTAGCTAATAATAACTACAAGAAAGTATTGACCAACAAAGGAAAAGCTTAGAGAACTTGGATATAAACTTATAAATAAGTAAATACATTTTTAAGAATTTTATTAACAAAAGAAAATTCCAGATTTGGCTACTAAAATTGCCAGCACTGGCAAACCTGCAACTGAAACTTGCAACGATCGACAGTTGAACAGTTGGACAGTTAGAGAGATACCTAGATACCAAAATTGTGAAGCCAAATTCGCAGCCGAATCGAAGGAACTCCAGACATAACTCACTGCCAAGTATCGGTCTGATGCGTGCGCTTATGGCATAATAACTTCATTTAGACAGCTTTTCTGCTGGCTCCGAATAGGCATAGTTGTCTCAAAATGGCCATGGCAAACGTGTCAGACAATTGTCAATTATTTATTAGTGGCAACGCACGTAGTCGAATCGCAGCGAGTTGAACAAGGGACATTCAGACACTTGGACAAAGACTGGGATTTTTGTGAACCGAGTCTGGGTTTTTGGCTAGACATTAGAGTCGCCTTAAGTGCTTTCAAGCCCCTCTAATAGTGATCCAAAGCGATAGCTAATGGATAGAGGCGATAGAGCGGGGGAATTCTATTTGAAGCAGAGAGCACCCCGAAGAGTTGGGGGAGATGTGATCTCATCTTTGGTGGATTCTTGATTTGATCTTGAGGCGATTAAGCTACTTGGTTTGTAATGGCTCAACAGCAAGAGGTTTTTTTATTTGATTTTATTCAAAAGCTAAATTTAGAATCTGTGTACAAGAGATGCTGTTAGGTATTTGAAAGATTAATTGATTGATATTATCTTTCTTAACTTTACTTTGAGGAAATAAAGGAATAATATATACTCTTCAGTTAATTACTTCCCTAAACTCCCACTACATTTTCTCCCATCAATCATCTATAAAAACGCTTTTGGCCTGGCCACGAAGGAAAGCTTGCAACTGTAACAAAGGTGGCTTGAAGCTCTTACATAAATATGGCAATTGCCTAATTAGAATTACAAAAAAGGCAATAGAAAAAGCGCCACAACAGCGGCAGTGACACCAGCTAATAGCAACTGGGAACTGTCACAAAATAAAAAAAAAGGTAAAACAGAAAAAACAGACGAAGCCAGAAAGATAATAAATAAATGTATAGATAAATAGAGAATAAATAAATGCCGATTGGAAAAACGCGCCACGCATGAGCAATGAGGATCGCACGTGGAAGAGATTGGTGGCTAGAAAGGGGGTCTTAGAGGGGTCTTAGGGTGTCTCAAAGGGGGTGGTGTAGCCCCCACTTTGTTACGAAAAGTGTCGCAAAGCGCGCGAAATGATAAACGAGAGAAAAACATGCAGCGCATAAAAACGAGAGATGAGGAAACGCAGTGGCCAAGATCTTTAGACTTCAACAAGCTCTTTGAGTTTCTGCTAGCATCCGCTATTTATGAGATTTATTTCCCTCTTTCGGATATATCTTAAAGATATATATAATACAAAAAACATCTTTAGACTCACCAACAAAATCACAATGGTGAATGCGTCGCTTCTCCAGCTCGGGATTGTTCCGGCGATTGTAGCGCACTGTGCGAACGCTCATCAGGCTGGCTATGTGAGCTGCCGTTCCCGGCTGATGATGCGAGTGCCGGCCACGCCTTCCGCCTCCTGACGTGCGAGGGGTGGGGGGTGGTGGCTGCTGCTGTTGCTGCGATTGCTGGGTTTGTAGCTGCTGTTGCTGTTGTTGCTGCTGCTGCACTGCAGCAATGGCACTGGCGGGCGTCAGAGTGGTGAGCGTAGAGCTGCCACTCCCCGTGACACCAACTCCTCCTGCTGCTCCTCCTCCTCCCAACAGCTGAAGCGTGGGCGAGTGATTGACCAAACTGGGACACAGTCCACCCAAAACATGACCTTGTTGATATGGCGGCGGTGGGGTGGTGCGTCGTTGGGCTGCTGCTGCAGCGGCTGCGGCCACCATTGAGGATCCTGGACTACCAGGATCCGAGCTGGGCGGCGTTAGAGGTGGCACAAACATGTGGCGACTGGCGGAGGAGGAGGAGAGCGACGAGGAGGAGACTGACGAGGAGGACAGCGAGGCCGAGGGGGTGCTAGGCGCCGCCGGAGGGCACAGCTGTTGCAGCTGTTGATGCTGCGCGTGCTGCTGTTGCTGCTGCTGCGTTTGCTGTTGAGCACCAATTTGAGCTGTGGGCGTGGCAGTGGCGGTGGCTGCCACCGCGGCGGCAACTGATGGCGGGTGTATTTGGTATTTGGTGTGGAAGGTCTGCAGAGAGAGAAAAAGAGTTAGAAAAGTTAAAAAAATATTCCAATAATTCATAGACTTAAGCTTTATTTATTAGGTAAACTTTTAGTGTATATTTTTTCTCAATTTTCCTACTCAATCTCGGCAAGTAGAGGAATCACTCACCTGACTGCTGTGCCAGCTGTAGCCGTAGGAGTTGCTGCTGCTACCGTTGAGATAGCCGCCGCCGCTGGTTCCGCCGACCAATTGAGATGCGTACTGTTGCTGATAGGAGGAGGAGGTGTTGCTGCTGCCACTGTCGCCGGGGGTCGTTACCGCCAGCTTGGGGCTGCTGCTGCCACTGTGCTGCAGATGCTGCTGTTGCTGTTGCTGCTGCTGCTGCTGTTGGTGTAGCTGCAACTCCACCACCTCAACGGCGGGTGGCAGGCCGGACAGCGCCAGGCTGGGATGATGCTGGTACAAGTGCTGCTGCTGCTGCTGTTGATAATGTTGCTGATAGTGTTGCTGCTGCTGTTGCTGGTATTGCTGCTGCTGGTGTTGCTGCTGCTGCTGTTGCTGTTGCTGCTGCTGATGTCGCTGCTGTTTCTCGGTCTTGATCTCCAGGGGACTGAGCAATGGTGTGGAAAAAGTCTCCAGGAGACTCTCATCGATTGCCTCCATCTTGACCTGCGGCAGTTGCGATGTTGCAGTGTCGTTGTTGTTGTTGTTGCTGCCACTGCCACTGTTGCTGCTGTTATTGCTGCTACTGCCATTATTGTTATTGTTGTTGTTGTTATTCCCACTGTGACTGCTCAGCATGAGAGCATTCTCGGGATCAATATTTTGGATTGAGGTAGTAATATCATCCCAGAGCACCGGTCGCTGATAGGGATCGTCCAGCGGATCGGCATACAGAGCAGCCTCTTTGTTTTTGGTTTCTAAAAAATTGAAAAAATAAAACAAACAGAAATCGAATTATGCAAATAATCAATGATTAGGAGGTACACAATGAAATCTCGCATATGCATGAAATTTCCAAACAGCTGCCGATTTGTTTGACTATTTTTAGAGGAAGATCTAACAATAAGAAATAGATACTATTTGGTATACAGATGGGGCTTTAATCTAGAGATGGTTGCTAGACAATATTTATAGTTTTATTATGAATATTTTTATAAACTTTTAAAGGAAGATCTAACCTTTAAATTGGTGATATTTAGCAGAGAATAAATAGTATTTTTACGATTATTTTTCTAAGCGATTTTTAACAGGCATGAACCTGCAGCTATTTGATTTTTTTTAAATTTCCAAATTTCCAAATTTCTTCTCTATTTTTTTCTATTTATTTTTAATATCATTTCTTACAGCTCATTCCTTGTTCGTCGATTCCCCAAAACATATTTCTTGGCTTAAGCCAGCGTCTCCCGCTTGTCTACATCTTTTTATTTATTATTTTCTTGGGGTCTCAGATTTCACATTTCGGCACCGGACCTCAAACAAGCTTGCCATTGCTGGGTGTTTCTCTATATTTTACTATTGACTTGTGAGATTTCACCATGCGTGTAATTTTGTGGGCCCAAATGGAGCCCACACACCACACCATAGCACAACGAAATACCTTAAAATTCCACTAACATTTCTTTTTAATTAATTTAAATTTTAAAAAGGAATTCCTCCCTAAAACTCACCATACAGATACTCCTTGTCACTGCTTCCGGCAGTCGTGGCTCCACTGGCCGCTCCATAGGCCAGAGCCACTTCGTAGGGCGCTCCATCGTAAAGCGGAGCGCAGCCGTACGCAGAGTTTGAGTTGGAGTTGGGTGAGCCGGCAGGCTGAAGCTGCTGCTGCTGGTCGCCGGGGTAATGGGGATGCGGATGCCATGGCTCTACCGCCGTTGCTGCGGCAGTTCCTCCACTTTCGCCGCTCTGCAGGCTGTGGGCATGGTGGTGCTGCTGCTGTTGGTGCAGGTGGTGGTGCTGGTGGTGATGCTGATGCGAATGCGAGTGATGGTGGTGCAGGTGATGGTGGAACTGATGCTGTTGATGGCTGGCTGTTAGGCTGTTGTTGTTGTTATTGTTGCTGGTGGGTGTCTGGCTGCCGTTGCTGTTGTTGCTGCTGCTGTTGCTGCTATTGTTGTTGTTATTGCTGCTGGAGTTGTTGTTGTTGTTGGCTGCAGCAGCAGCGGCTGCCAGAACCTCCAGCTCAACATCAGCGGGCTCGATTTTATGCAGACGTCCCATCAGCTCGTGCCGATAGTCCAGCTCCGGGGACTGTAAAAAGGAAGAGAAAAATCAATGAGCTTTGAGATAAAGATGCACAGAGAAAAATTGAAGATCTAAGATTTTTTGAGATATTATATTTAAAAAAAGGTTTCTATACAAGACTTAAGGTTAAATAATTAATAAATATAATATAAAAATTACCTAAACTCTAATAACTATTTTTTTAAAAGCTTTTTAATATTTTAAATATATTTTTAATGAAATGCTAGGATTATTCTTTTTTCCTAATTAATTACAATACTTAAAAATTAAATTGAAATTATAATAAAACTGTTATCTAATTTTTCTGGGTGTTATTTTAAGCAAAAGTAGTGAGCTGGATACCTTCCTCTACCTCTCCAACTCGAACCTGGTCGAGCTCTAACTGCCCCGCTTCCCTCCCATAAATTTTGATTAAACTTTTATCGCCCTGCAACACTTTCGGCTGCCACTTGAGCGCAATCTGGAATCAAATCCCCACCGCGTTGCCACTTATCTTTACGTTCATTTCTCTTCTCTCTGGCTTTTGTTTTTTATTGCATTCTTTGCTTCAATTTCGTTTTGCTTGGCTCTGAAATTTGTTTGTTGTTGTCTGTAGATTTGTCGTCTGATTTTTTATTTTTATTTCGATTTTGATTTTTATTTTTATTACCCACGGAGCTCCAGCTTCGACGGGATCTTAATGCTCATGCGCTTTTCGAGAGCCAATGCAAGTTCGTTGTCTAAGTCTTTCGTTTTGAGTGCGACTGGAATTTGTATACATTTTTGTATATTTTTTTCCCTGAGCAAATGAGAACAAATAGAAATACGCTAAAAACGAATGCTTTTGTCATGCTAAAAAAGAGTTTTTGAGGCCTACGAATTGCTAATTCCGTAGATGATTTACACATCAACCTCACTTCCTTTCCTTTGCTATTTTATAGAATTTTCTTAAGCTTTAGTTTATTTTTGGTTTGTTCTGTTACTTGTATCTCGAGATTCTTTTGTTTTGATTGGCTTTTGTTTTTAGTGAACAGTTAATTTATGGCAACACTTAACGTTGTTTAGGCAAACATAATAATCATTTGGCAAATTAGTGAAATTTTTTTATGAACCCCAAAAAACTCAAAACCAAAGCCCCGAGAGTCCAGTCCCAGGCCTCTCTCGCTGCCTTTCACATGCAAATGATGGGGCCAAGGGCCCATATATCAAACAAACTGTCGATCAGCAAAGGCCTTAGCCATAAACCTAGCTAAAAAACCGAAAACGAAAATCTGACTCAATTCGAGAAATGCTCGACACTGAGTCACTCCCCCGAGCAAATGTGTGTTGCCTCGTTTCTGTTTTATGAGCTGAAAATTTACGAGCGTGGCAAATTATTTTAGCTGCAATATTTTTGCGCCAGCATTTTTCATTTTATTGGCTGCGGTCGCTTTATTTTCTTTTTTTTTCGGGGCTATAGACTTTTCGTCCAGACCCACACAAATGGTACCTACTTCTTTTTTCTCTTTTGGGGTTATTTTTTTGGGTTTATTTTTTTGTATTTTTTGAGTAATGTTTGCTCGCCGCTGAGGTCAACATGGCGTGTGATAATTTTAATAGATTTTTGTAGCGTATTTTTGTGTGTTTCCTTACGGGTCGTATGAGTAATGTGCAGAGCATGGTGGCCCAAATAGCTAAAATCTATTTTATAGCTTGTAATTTTAGTTTTTAATAGAGGAAGGAATAATTTACTATAGATTACTTATTAGAATATGTATTTTTTTATATTTTTTATGTATTTCTTAGATTATTTATTAAAATATGTATATTTTTTAGAGTTTTTCTTATTTTTTCAAGGCTAAATATAAATTTTATTTTATTTTATATGATAACTTTGGCTTCTGTAATTTTTTAAAAATTATAAAAAAATTAAAAGAGATGTTTTTTGTAGAATAATTGTTAATTTTTATATTATTTTAAGCTTTTTATATATTTCTTTTTCTTGCTATATATTAATTTATGTGAAAACTATAACTTCTGTAACCACTGTGTGGCTTTCCACGAACCAAGTTTTCAAGTTTTCCACTTGGCAAAGGTTCTGATGGAGCATTTAGTGGGCTCCCCACGCAAATGACCTCATAAGAATGCGTAGAGCGTTGCCTTGGCAGGCTTGCGGAATCTTTAAGTGGCTTAGGCTTAGGTCTCCCCACCATTTCGCTTCGATTGGACTTTGGGGCAACCGAGAACTGAGACCGAGACTGCGAACGGTAACTCTTTGACAGCGACAAGAACCACAAAACATGAATTTCAATTATGAACCTGTTGTTCTTTTGGACACTTCTTTTGGGTCCCTTTGGGTTTTTGCTGGTGAAATTATGTCCAGGTACTTATAACTTCAATTTCTTTTTGAGCCGCAGACTGGCACGCCAAGTTATTTTTATTTATTTATGATTCTTTTTAATTTGTTGTTGCTCAAAATGCCGTTGTCAGTGATCGCTTCTGACGGCAGAGAGTCAATAAATGGGCATTATGTACGTATAAAAATTTGCATAAATTGTTTAGGGGAGTTGAAATGGGAGTTTTTTAACCATTTGTCTGTGGATATTTTATGTTTTTGTTTATTGATTTGACCCATTTAGAGTGTTGATGAATTGGGTCTAATGTTTAAGCTGTAAAACTGCAGTTGGGGCTGTCTGTGATTCATATGCAATGCAGAGGTATGATTTATTCACTCGCTTAAAAATTATAATAATATAATTATTAAAAGGGTCAATTGCTGGGGTAATCGTTTTTAGAGAGGTGTCATTGTGGGTTTATTTTGAGGTGCCTAAAATTATGATTTATTGACAGAACCTTCATAAATTATTAATTAATTAAAAAAAACAAAACAAGAAGTTTTAGAAAATATAATTGGTAATTTATTATTTAATTTGTGAAGCTAAAGCCTTGCCATTTTATTAAATTGAATTTGAAATTTTCAATATTCCCCTTAAAAAATAATCAATTAAGTTTGTAATTCATTCTCCCGTTCCACTTTCCCTTTAACCAACTTTGTCGGCAATTTGAAAAGCCAGAAACAAAGGCTGCATTTTCACCGAATAATTTGAGTGTGGATTTTTCTGCGTCTCGAATTCGGCATGCCCCGTTTCGAGTGCATTTTGCGGCTGTTTAGCGATTCGTTTTGGTGATTTTTCATAGCCATCTCTGACTTTTATGTGGACTGACAGACGCTGGCGATGACTGGTGGCGGCTTCTGCCGTGCAACGTGCAACCTGCAACATTGCAACCTCGACAGCAACAGCAAACTCCAACTGCAACTGCAGCTTCATTAGGTGCAGAAAAAAGCTCTGTGGCATGCCGCTTTGGCATTTCTCATTCTCAGGTGAATGGCAGCCGAAACGTGAGGAGTTGCTGCCTTAATGGCCAAGAGCGTTAAGTGCATATAAGCACACAAATAAAGTTGTTAACTATTGTTTAACGCCACCACCACAAAAAGGAAAACAAGACATTGTTGTAGCAACACATGTACTTGGGGCACCGCAAACAAGACACACAACACACAGCAAAGCGACAATATTTATATGAAAAAAATGAACAACAAAATAGAGGAAAACAAGCAGAAAGCATAAAAAATAATGACAAACATAAATATCAACTTTACGAGTGCAACGTGACTTCATTTAAAATCGAACAAAATATGCAAAATAAAGCGCGCGCACACACTGGTGCGTGGTCAAGAACCCCAGACCAAATTTGGCACTTGCTGCTGCTGCTGCTGCTGTTGTGAGAAACTCTCGGTGACAAACAGGGAAATGAAAAAGAAATATACACACAACTTACACACAAATACAACACAAATAATGCCTATAAAAATTAATAAATTTTATGTTCCATTATACTCGCTTCTACCCAGCTTTGGCAGCCGCTTTGCATTTTAAAAACCTTAAGTCGAGTCGAATCGAGTCGCTCGAGAGCCTCGGGAGCCATTCGTTCATTCATCTGACATTTCTTTTCAATTTGACTCTATCTATTAACAGCCATCAATATGCCAAAAATAACTATATAAAAAAGATGTCAAATTGCCAACTGTTTATTTGATATTTTTACTATTATTAATTCAGGCATTTGCTGAGCCCCAGCTTGACTCTCCATTGAGCCGATATTGAGCCATAAAATTGGCCATTTTGCGTTCGGTCTTCGCGGCTCTTGACAGCTGCGCATAAAAGTTGCTCCATAAAACTCGTAAGAAATGGGTCCAAATCATATCAATAACAAAAGGCATTTTCAACTGCGGGAGATAATAAATTAAATGCCTAAATGGTTCGACAAGAATTGGGTTATAAAAAGTATAAGAGATATCTGTGAGCTTTGTGTCCCACACATTTGGAGATTCTGATGGTCAAGATTTGTATATAATTGGTGCTGTAATATGAAAATATGAATAAAAGGTTGTGGGGTATTTACAAGCCATATTTCTTGTTTCTCCCTGTGAGCTTTCTAAAGCAACTTGAACTTCATTAACGGCACGTGCCGAATATCGTTTCATCTGCTGTAATTCCCCTCGAAAAACTCACACACCCACCTAAAGACAATGAAAGTATGCTTTTTGTGATAAGGCCAACACGCTTATTAACAATGGCTGCTGCTGGCTGGCTGGCCAGATGTATCCGAGGGATAAGCAGAAGTAATTGCTAGGCCAAGACACCACAAAAAAAGTATAAAAAAAAAAGAGAAAGAAGCCCCAAATGAAAGAAATTCGGAAGAGGTTAGCACTATATAAGAAAAAAACATTAAATAATCTATGGATTCGACTTGGCTTATTGTTCGAAATCCAATCGCCAATCGCCACTCTGGCCCCCAGGGCAGACTTCAATTGAGTGCAAAATAAAAGGAAAAAAATAAAAAAATTTATATATATTTCCTGAAATTTGTTTAATGAAACGACCGCTAATGCCAGTGTTTTCAAGTGAAAGTTTCCATTAAGGCAGGAAGCGGTTAGACTTGACTTGACACATTCATGGGTGGAAAGGCGTTGTGTGCGGCCAGAA